GTGCTTTGTGGGTTTTATTTTGTTTCGTTTTTCAGTGCTGGGATCAAGCCTAGGGCCACGAGCATGCTAAGCACATGCTCTACCACTGTGCTGACTCCCTAGCCCTGTTTTCTGATATTTTTTTTGTGTGTGGTACTGGAGTTTGAACTCAGGGCTTACACCTTGAACCACTCCACCAGCCTTTTTTGTGATGGGTTTTTATGAGCTAGGTTCTCTCAAACTATTTTGCCCAGGCTGGCTTGGAATTGAGGTTGGAGAGGATCTCTACCTCCTCAATAGCTAGGATTACAGGCATGAACCACTGGTGCCAGGCTTATTTTCTGATTTTTAAATGGTAACTATCCACACAGGTGCGAGAAAGACTTTCACTGTGGTTTGATTTGCACTGCCCTGATGAACAGGGATATTGAGCATCTTTTCATGTGCTTTGGCCATTTGTGTATTTACTTTGAAGAATGTCTGTTCAAGTTCTTTGCACATTTTTGAATCAGGTTATTCATTTTTGTTGTTGAGTTTTAGGAATTCTTTACATATTCTGGATACTAATCTCTTATCAAGTATGTAACTAGAAAATATTTTCTTCTATTTTGTGGGTTGCCCCTTTACTCAGTTCATAGTAATTTTTTCCAAGATTCTGCCTTTTGAATAGGCTTGCTTTTTTTTCTTTTTTCTCTTCCATTTTTATTAGGATATATTCATTGTATAGAGGAGATTCACTGTGACATTCCCGAATAGCTTTTCAATAGTATATATATATATATATATATATATATATATATATATATGCAACATTTTTTAATGTAGGGTTAAAAGTAGGGTTTCACTGTGTAGCTCAGGGTGACCTCAAACTTGCAATCTTCTTGCTCCAGACTCATCAGTGCTGGAATTACAGATGTGGGTCCTCACACCTGGCACGCCAAAATTTTTTATTTTCATGAAGTGCAATTTGTCTGTTCTTTCTTTTTTTGACAATGCCTTTGGTGATATATCTAAGAAATCATGCCAAATGCTAAATCCAGTATTTTGAAGATTTTTGTATATTTTCGTCTGAAGAGTTTTATAGTTTTAGCTTTCAAGTCTTTGATCTATTTTGAGTTAATTTCCATATTTAATATAAAGTAAGGGTCTGACTTCATTCATTTGTATGTGGATATCTAGTTTCCCCTGTACCATTTGTTGAAAAGACTTCCCATTCCCCCACTGAATGGTCTACAGCCCCCTTGTTGAAAACCATTAAAATCATTTTACCATATATATGAGTGTTTATTTCTGACCTCCCTGTTCTATTTGTTTGTATGCCTTCATTTTTGCCAGTACCACATTGTTTTGACTACTGTAGCTTTGTAGTTAAGTTTCGAAATTAGGAAGTATAAGTCTGCCAACTTTGTTCTTCTTTTCAAGGATTTTTGCCTATTCAAGGTCCCTGAAAGTTCCATGTGAATTAAAGGAAGAATTTTTCTATTTCTACAAAAAAAATTACGGTCTGGGTATGGTGGAACATGCCTGTAAATCCCAGCAACTCAGGAGGCAGAGGCAGGGGGAATCTCGAGTTCCAGACCAGCCTGGGCAAAAAGATTGTGAGACCCTGTGTCAAAAATAAAATGAAGCTGGGGGCCTGTGGCTCACACCTATAATCTTAGCTACTTGGGAGGCAGAGATCAGGAGAATTGTGGTTTGAAGCCACTCCAGGCAAATAGTTCATGAGACCCTACCTCGAAAAATACCCAAGCAAAAAAGGGCTGGCAGAGTGGTTCAGGTGATAGAGTACCTGCCTAGCAACTGTAACTTCAAATTCCAATACCATCAAAAAAAAGGGGGGGGGGGTGGAAGGAGAGGAAGGAGGGAGGAGAAAGCAGAAACAATGGAAAAGGGAAAGGCGAGAGAGAATCCTAATATTCTGAGCAAATGACTTTAGCAAAGCTACATTGTCACCAATTAAAAGTTGATTCTTGCTGGGCACTGGTGGCTCACACCTGTAATCCTAGCTACTTGGGAGGCTGAGATAGGAAGGATCATGGTTGAAAGCCAGTCCAGAGAAATAGTTCAAAAGACCCTACCTCCAAAATAACTAGAGCAAGAGGGACTGGAGCTGTGACTTAAGCAGTAGAGTGTCTGCTTTGCAAGCATGAAGCCCTGAGTTCAAACCCCAGTCCCACCAAAAAAGATTTTTACAAAGTAATATAAAACTTTTTAAAAGGTTCTTATTGTGGGTCTAGTTCTTTGGAGGAGAGCTTCATGGTGGGCACTGAAATTCTGGACTTATAAAAGTGTTAGTATATCGCCATCATGTTATCCTTAACAACTAAATGTATATGTTATTCAGAGCAGACCAGGAACTGTGGGAGGAGAGCAAGGGAAGGAAAGGCAGACATAGAACATCAGTTATTAAAGAAAACATGGAAGATGACAAGATAAAGAAGAGTGGTAGAGAGAAAAGATAAGAAAGATAAAAAGGACAGCACATCTGGGATGAGTGGGACTGGAAGCTAGGCTAGGCCATTGAAAATGGTTGATATGGGGAGACTGAATTGCCTCTTATTCTCTGAGAATGGCCACACTTGGTAAATTCTGTTGCTCAAATAACACTCAAAGAACTTCTTAGTGATTTTACCTCTGTTGCTAGGAACTCAAGATTTTAATCCACCCATTTTATTGTGACTCAAGGTGTTCAGTCAGATGTTAGGAAGAGCTTATCCTGACCATTAATATTTTGGGTCACTTTTGCTCTTTTTTTTTGGTAAGTGATTTAATATTTTGTGTTAAACACATATTGATAATTGAGAAAATACCAATAAAACTATTTCTGTTTGGAGAAAAATATTACCAAGTTACAGGCCACATTCTTTGATCAGAGTCCAAGGAAGCTCCTACCCAGCTTTCCTCACCAAGAGCTGGTGCTTGGTGTGAGGTTAGGTTGGTAAACAGCACCCATTCAGGGAGAACAATGGTTGCCAGGGGGGGTGTCATCTGAGAGTGGTGGCCGACTTGATCTTGCCTCAGAGGATGCATATTCTGGCTGAATCCCAGCCCCTCCAAGCATTACATTTTTCTTCTTGACTTTGGGGGACGCTCTGGACACTCAGTGGTGTGGACCTTAGCTCCTATGCACCTGGGGAAAGTCTCCAATGGGCCACTGGAGCTCCAGTCAAGGTGAGGACTTTCATGTGCTATGGTTGATGCTAAAGAGAAAACCAACTTTTTAATCTCCTCACTTCCTGCCTCTTCAGAAGCTGTGGGGGGACCAAAAGATGCCTGTCAGAAAGAAAAATTGTCTCTTGGATCTAAGACTGCCCCCCATTCATACAATTAGTTAGATCCTTAGGTGCCCAAATGAGTGTCCATGGCTGTGTTGTTCAGTGAGTCATCCAGAAGGCCAAAAACATAGGCAGGAACGGTGACTTCAGTTCATAGAGGGGAGGGCACCCCTTGAAGAACTTGAAGTTCTTCAAGCAAACCTGACAAGCAAACCCTGGAGATATGGAGAGGTGACAGTCTCTGGAATCATGCAGGAAAAAGAAAACCTGTGAGGAAGTAGGGAATATCACTCCTGGAAACAAGAGGCTGGCCTAAGGGTCAGAGTTGGACAGCACAAAATGACGCACTATTTTCTTAGAGCTAATTGTGCTCTGATCCCATTGAGCAGTGTATAAAGAAGTCATGAAGACTACACTTAACAGAATTCCTGGCTCATTATGAGCCAAATCAAAGTCTTTATCAAACCTAAGAATTAATGGTAGACAGGGAGCAGCAACCACTCAAGAGAGGATAGTACTTGGAGGAGAGAGAGAAATAAAGGCTTCAGATGTCTCAGTCTAGAACATTCCATGCTGCTTAATGTAGGGTATATAGACAAGAGAACAGTGTCTAGAGAATGTCTTCCTGGCTCCAGGGTCAAATGGGTGAAGGAGTAAATAGGTAGGCTCTCCCACAAACGCCCATTAAAGATCACTATACTCCACCTGCCTAGCAAGCACAAGGCCCTGAGTTCAAAACCCAGTATTGCGCCCCCCCAAAAAAAGATCACCCCTCCCATTACTGACTCATTCCCTCATCACCCCTTCCTTTCTTCCCCAAGGAATGCTCTCTGGTTCAAATGTACATGAGAACAGTTCTCCATAACACACCTGGAAACTCCCACCAGAACAGATTTGAGCTTTCTGCCCTTCACCTTACCTTCCATGGAAACCAGGTCAGGGAGAACAGAAATCAAAGGGCAATCAAGGTGAGAAAGAGCTCTGGAAATTTAACTAAACAGTTGTCCAGAAGAAGGGAAATGAAGGAATGGATGGAGAGACTTGCAGGCAAGAAAAGAGCAGCTCAGCTGTGAGGTTAAGACACCTTGCACACGTTTCTATCTGCCTGTGTTTCTCAATGAGAGAATACATACATCTCCTTTGAAGGAGAAAATTATTAAGGATCCCTAAGAATACATATTTGAACCACCCCAGGTTCAGAATCCCTGGCTTTGGAAACTACTCTTATTCAATGATAATGTCTTTTTTTGTGTGTGAGTGCGGTACTGGGGCTTGAACTCAGGGCCTACGGCTTCAGCCACTCTACTAGCCCTTTTTTGTAATGGGTTTTTTTGAGATAAGGTCTCTTGAACTATTTGCCTGGGCTGGCTTTGAACCATGATCCTCCCGATCTCTGCCTCCTGAATAGCTAGGATTACAGGTGTGAGCCACTGGTGCCCAGTTCATATATCTTTCAATTGTAAGTCATAACTGCAAGACAAAAGGGTATTTTCTTGGTAACTAGAGTATCTCTCTCTCTCTCTCTCTCTCTCTCTCTCTCTCTCTCTCTCTCTCTGGTGGTACTGAGGTTTGAACTCAGGACTTTGAACATGCTAGGCAGGTGCTCTCCTGCTTGAGCCATGTAAGTTTTTTATATTATTATCAAATGCGAACTTTTCTCAGTAGAGTATAGATTGCAGACGTCTGAGGATACATCCCAGGATCACAGATCAAGAAACAGCTCTACAAGTTCTCAACCCAGGCACCATGAGAAACCTCCTGTGGACACTCACTATTGCCATAGCACTGGTGTTCCCGATCTTCTATTTCATTAAGGAAAATCCTTTTGACACCACAAGTTTCCTGACTTTGGTGAGTACCAGAAATATGTGGTGGGGCCAAGTTGAGAGCTGACATTATCTTAAGTGTCTGTGTGAAATCAACACGAATACTGGAGATACTCAAAGAAGAAAGAATTGGAGAATGCCTGAGGAATTGACGTATCATTTTTCTTTGATGAATTTAAAAAGTGATGGTATCCCAGTGGGAGAGAAAATTCAAAGCCAGGAAGGAATAACACTTTCTTAATACATCAGCAGTTTATCCTCTTCTTATAGCAATTGATGAGACTGAAATTTTTTCTATGTTTGTAAGTTTCCCATTTTGGAAATTTTCCTTGATTCTCAAAGTTATAAATTTTCAAGCATTTTGTGTATTAGGATCCTAAACCTTAGAGAAGTTAAGTCATTTGTTCAAGCCAAGAAAAAGTCTAAGGAGTAGAGAAAATTTCACAGAACTCAGAAAAGGCAAAGTAAAGAAGAGCAGATGGTGAATGAATGGGAAAGACTTTTGTTTTGGCCAGCGGGGTGGTAATATCTGGCTCCTGTATCTCTCACGCTTAATACCTGCTGTGCCCTTGGTGGAATTAGTGACTCATATCAGACTATAATCATAAGGATAATTAAAGAATGGTATTATCTCATCCGCTATGTTTAACCCAAGAGAGCTAAAGGAATCCCAACTCCATCTATCCCATGATCCATAACCTAAAATAGAACTTGGTATCTCAGGTATCTCCTAAGAGAGAACTTTTTCAGAAGACAAAGATGAAACTGAGCAACCTGCCCTGTGTTCTGGAGATCATTTTGTCATGCTCTACGCAGGGGAGCCTAGCCAACATTATTCCCAGATGTGATGAATCATAGAGCTGAATCTTTCTCTTTTCTCAGGAGGAAAAGGAGCTGGTAGCTTGGCAGACAGCCCGAATGCAGATCAACCCTGGCAGAACAAGACACCTCAAAACCTTCAAAGATATGCAGAGAAACTCAGAACCACTCAAAAATGTGAACTCTCGTATCTTGATTGGAGCCCCTCCCCTGGAAAAAAGTGAGTGTCTACAAGGCGTGTAGATCATCCAGGTCAGCCCAGGTAGGCAGGGAAGGCAGGTAGAAAGGAAGTGGAAGAGATACCTGGAATTTAGACTGCAACAGACAGTAATTCCTGGTCCATTCTTTTCCCACCCTCTCTTCTGAAGAAACTAGGGAGAGAATAGTTTCCAGGAGGAAACTAGAGAAGGGGGATTTAGTAAAAGAGAAAGAAGTCTGGAGGTGACAATGAAGTCTGAGTGGGTGGTCTCTCAGGGTCCTGGGGCCTCTAAAGATCACCTACCGTCCATGACAGATGGCAGCAACAGCACCTGGGCAATAGTTAGAGCTGCAGAATACTAGCCCTGTCCCTGACCTACAGAGTCAGAATTTTCACTGGGAGCAGATCTCCAGGTGAATGGTTTACACGAAGAAGCTTGAGGATTATACTTTTGTAGCACTGCAGCCCAGGAGATGATCTTGGAGAGCAACACCAGAACTGTGACAAGTTTCAGGCAAGCAAAATCAGTTTTAGTACTTTTTAGACTCTCCATATGGTAGAGACCCTGTCTTCCCAGTCCACCCTCCCAGACTTTAAAACACTACATTTGCAGTAAATAAACACATTTGCACTGGAAACTAATTCCATACTGTACATTGTAAAAATAGGTACTGTGTGGTGAGTTAAAAATGAAAGTTCCTTTTTCTTCCCCATTCCTCTTCCCTCCCCCAGAAGTCTGGTGCATACCCTCCTAGGGATTCAGACATCTCTGTGGCATTTACATAGATGCTATAACCATGGTATTTAAAAAGATCATTTTATGTGTATTGTTCTGAGATCTTTTTTTCTTTTGAGACAGTGTCTTGCTATGTAACCCAGGCTGTTCTAGAACTTGAGATTCTCCTGCCTCAGCCTCCTGAGTGCTGGGATTACACGTGTGAAACATCAGGCTCAACTGGGATTTGCTTTTTTCATTCTTTAATGTGTGTGTGTCTGTCTGTCTGTCTGTCTGTGTGTATCTTGGAGAGTCTTCCCTTGCCTCATTCTTTTTTAACTGATGGCATCTACATACTATGGATATAAAAAGGATTTATTTAACCATTCCTTATTGATCAATACTCAGTTCTTTTCCATTTTTTCCTATTAAAAAAACAATGTCACAATTAATATTATTTTTGTTCATATGAAAAAGTATTTCTATGGGAAATATGCCTAGATGTGAGACTAATAGGTCAAAAAGCACACCGTGCTTTGGATTTCTATCTACATCTTAATTGCATGGAAAAGGCTACAGCTTGATAGTCACATCAGTTTATTCTGTGGACTTCCTCACAATTTCACTAGTTCTCATGTCATTGTTTGAAAGGCAGAAAAGATTTCTTTATATTCTGTGATGTTTGTTATTTGATAACCATGATTACTAGCAATGGTTAAGCATGTTTACATGCTTAAGGGTCATTCCATTTCATTGGATTGCTCGATTTCTGTTGTTGATTTATAGGAGCTATTTATGTATTATAAAAATCTTTTATTGAATGTGTTCTTCACTGCTGCTTGGTTTTGCTCATGATTCTTTTAGGATATAGACATTTTAATTTTATGTAATCAACTGTGTCTGTGATTCCTATGACTTCTGGATTCCATACATTGCCTAAGTGAAAAACTTCCCCACCACAGACTATTCTTGGAAAACTTTCACATTTCTTCTAATAGTCTTATGGTTTTGTTTCTGCAGGGATAAATAGTTCATGTAGATAATTTTTTTAAAGTAAGATGTCAGCTACATAATTAATTTACAAGGGGAAATCCTGGGATTGCATCACTATTTACTGAATACCCCATCTTCTCTCCTTACTGATGTGAAATACCACCCTTGTCACAGAAGCTCCCACATATACATGGGCTTATTTCCAGACACCACTTTATTCCAGACCTTTTTAAATGTTCCTGTACCAATTCCATATGATTTGATCTTGTGTTGCTATGTTGTATATGTTGTTAGATTAATCCTCCCACTCCTTACTTTCTTATTTTTGTGCTCTTTCAAATTTTTCCTATTTTTCATTTTTTCTTCCAGATGAAATTTTAAATTAGTTTGTTGACCTTTGTGAAAAAATACTGTTGATATGGACCTCATTAAATTTATAGATAAACTCAGAGTTAATTGATGTCTTTATAATTCTGAATCATACCATCCAGGAATATCTTATGTGTCTCCATATATTCAGGTATTTTGTGGGTTCTGTTAGAGCTTTGTCATTTTTTTCATGGGTCTCTCACATTATGATTAGGCATATTCCACTGGATATTACAGAACTTCAAAGTATGGGGCATGCTTTTCCACTACGTCCAGTAACTGAAGGAATGCCAATGCCAATGTTTTTTGTTTTTTGTGTGCTCATCATATATGTGTGTGTATATATATATATATATAATCATCTTGATGAACTCTCTTACAAGATCTAGAAGATTCTCTTGATTTATCAATGTAAGTCATCATTATAGCCAGGCACTGGTGGCTAATGCCTGTAATCCTAGCTACTTTGAAGGTTGAGCTCAGAAGAATTGAGGACTGAGGATTGAGTCAAATAATTCACAAGATCCTATCTCAAAAATAACCAGAGCAAAATGGACTGGAGGCACGCGAGTGATAGAGTGCCTGCTTTGCAAGTGAGAAGTCCTGAGTTCAAACCCCAATCACACACACACACACACACACACACACACACACACACACATCACTATTTTTTGCAAATAGTGACAGTTATGTCTCTTTTCAACAATTATCGCTCATTTCTTACATGATTTCAACTATTAGTAAAAAGACACATCTTTGTCTATTTCTGACTTCAGTGGGAATGCTTCTGTGATAGTTTATATTATGATGCTTCCTATAGTTTTTCATTTCTGTATGTCAAAGAATAAGCAAAGTTCTCTGCTGTGTTTTAGGCTTATAATTTATCAAAAGTACTTTCTTAATCTTTTTAGAAAGGATATAGAAAGGGAACTGCAGCCCCAAACAATGGAAATCTCACCAAATTTTTCGTAAAGTGCAATGATTTTGGCCTTAGTAACAAAGCCAACATGAGGTATTCTAGATGTTCATTGTAAAGAATTGGCTTGTGAGATGGTGGTAGCTGGCAAAACAAGTTCAAAACCCATAGGTCAGCCGTTAGGAAGGGTAGGCTGGAACCTGGGACAGGAAATGAAGCTGTCGTCTACAGGAGCAATTTTATCTTCAGAGAAACTGAATGACCTGACTCATTCAGCCCACCCAGATTATTTAGGATAACCTGTCTTCCTTAAAAACAATTGATTATGGATACATCTGTACAATACCATCCCAGTAACATCTAGCTTAGTGCTTGAATAACGGGGACTACAGCTTATGAAGTTGACATGGAGAAATGAGCAGCACAATCAAGAAATTATTTATTTATTTATTTGTGTGGTACTGGGGCTTAAACTCAGGGCCTACAGCTTGAGCCACTCCAAGAGCCCTTTTTTGTGATGGTTTTTTTTTTTGAGATATGGTCTCAGGAACTATTTGCTTGGGCTGGCTTCCAACCACGATCCTCCTGATCTCTGCCTCCTGAGTAGTTAGGATTACAGGTGTGAGCCACTGGTGCCTGGCATGACTTTTTTTTTAATGAGCAGATTCATTTTAAGTTTTGTGAACATTTTAAATGCATTAACTGAGACAGGCATGGTAGTTTACAGCTGTAACCCCAGCTGCTCAGTAAGCAGAGATTGGGAGGACCACGATTAAAGGCAAAAAGGCCATGAGACCTCCGTCTCAGTCAACAAAAAGCTGGGTATGGTAGTGTGTGCCTGTCATCCCAGCTAAACAGGAAGTATAAATAGGAGGATCAAAGTCAAGTAGAAATCTGACTCATTTTGACAAATAACTAAAGCAAAAAGTGGGATAGGGGTATGGCTCAAGTTGTAGAGCACCTGCCTAGCAAATGCAAGGCCTTGAGTTCTAACCCAGTACAACCAAAAAACTTTTCTACTGTGGAAACCTCTGGGCCTGTGTTTTATTTGTTTTTTGATGAGGTGGTGGTTTTCTTTAAAAATTGTTTAATTATTCTTTAATTTATTCAAGTTTTCTACCTCTTCTTGGGCCAATTTTTATAATTTATATTTTCCTAAACATCACTTATTTTTGCTATATTATCAAGCATTATAGATATGATTGCTAGTATATATTTATATATATATATATATATATATATATATATATATATATAATTTTTGTGTGTGTGAGGCTTGAACTCAGGGCCTACACCTTGATCTACTCCACCAGCCTTTTTTTGTGTTCAGTTTTTTTTTTTTTTTTGAGATAGGGTCTCACGAACTATTTGCCCAGCTGGCTTTGAACTGAGATCCTCCTGATCTCTGCCTCCTGAGTCGCTAGGATTACAGGTGTGAGCCACGCCCAGCTGCTTTTATCTTCTACAGAGTAATTCTGTACAAGAGTAAATCTTCTACAGTGTAATTCTACACTCTGCTTTCTTAGTTTTGTTTTTGTCCTAGTTCCTCTGTATCTCATTTCATTTATTTCTTTGTTGTTTTGTAGCTATTACTTCTCTAAGTGCCACTTTAACCATGTTCCCTGAGGTTTGGTCTACGATGCTCTTATCCCTACTTGCTCCTAAGTGGGTGGCAATTTCATTTGGCTTTCTTCTTCAATCCAAGAGACACTTAGAACAGTGATTTTCCATTTCCAAAGGGAGAGACTCTGATAAACTTTCAGGATTAGTTTTAGTTTTATTGCACTTTTGTCAAGGAAGACAGCTTATAAGATTGCTAGCTTCAAGACAATTAAAAATTAAAACTGTCTTCATGGTCTAATACATGGCCAGCATTTACTTTTTCTTCTTCTTCTTTGTTTAGACAGGATCTCATCTGTTTCCCAGGCTGACCTCATACTTGAGATTGTCCTGCCTCAGCCCCCTGAGTGCCGGGATCATAAGTGTGCCCAGCCAAACTCAGATATAGGTAATGTTTTCAAAGTATAT